CCTTAATTTCAAAGATTAGTCATTTCTTTGTGTTGGGAATATTCAGAATCCTTTTTTTTAGATATTGAAATTATACAGAAATTATTGTCAATTATAGTCACCCTACCATGCTATAAAACACTAGAGCTTATTCCTTCTATCTAGCTGTAATTTTGTATTTGTTGCCCAACCTCTCTCTATGCCCAAGTCCCAGCCCCCACCACCCTTTCCAGCCTCTACTAACCATTATTCCACTCTCTACTTCTACAAGATCAACTTTTTAGCTTCCACATATGAGTGAGAACATGCAGCATTTATCTTTTCATGCCTGGCTTATTTCATTTAACATAATACCCTTCAGGCTCATCTTTGTTGCCTTGAATGATGGGATTTTATTCTTTTTTATGGCCAAGTAGTATTCTAGTGTGTAAATATGCCACATTTTCTTCATCCATTCATCTGTTGACAAGCACCTAGGCTGATTCCATATCTTGGCTACTGTGATCAGTGTTGCAGTAAACTCTGGAGTAAAGATATCTCTTCAACACACTGATTTCATTTCTTTTAGATATATACTCACTAGTGGGATTGCTGGATCATGCGGTAGTTCTATTTTTAGTTTTTTGAGTAAACTGCATAATGTTTTTCTTAATGGCTGTACTAATTTACATTCCCCCTCAACTATGTATAAGAGTACCCTTTTCTCTGCAAACTCATCAACATTTGTTATTTATTTTCTTTTTTATATTAGTCATTCTAACTGGGGTGAGGTGATTATTCTTATATACTTAAAATCCAGGATATAATATCAACATACAAAAATCAGTAGCACTTCTATACACCATCAACAAACTAGTTGAAAAGGAAATTAAGAAAACAATCCCATTCAAATTAGCTACAAAAATAACCTAGCAATAAATTTAACCAAGGAGGTGAAAGATCTCTACAATGAAAACTATACAGCGCTGACAATGTTATAATCTTTTCCCTTATGATTGCTTTGGCTATTTGGGCTCTTTTGTGGTTCATTTGAATTTTAGGATTGTTTTTCTATTTCTGTGAAAAATGTTATTTGTAGTTTAATAGAGACTGTATTGATTCCATAGATGGCTTTTTGAGTAGTTTGGTTGTTTTGACAGTGTTGATTCTTCCAATCCATAAACGTGGGATGTCTTTCCATTATTTTGAGTCCTCTTTAATTTCTTTTGTCAGTGTTACATAGTTTTCATTGTAGACATCTTTCAACTCCTTGGTTAAATTTATTTCTAGGTTATTTTTGTAGCTAATTTGAATGGGATTGTTTTCTTAATTTCCTTTTCAACTAGTTTGTTGATGGTGTATAAAAGTGCTATTGATTTTTGTATGTTGATATTATATCCTGGAACATTACTGAATTTATTTATCAGGTCTAAGTTTTTTGGTGGAGTGTTTAGGTTTCTCTCTATATAAAATCATGTTATATACAAACAGGGACAGTTTGGTCTTCTCCTTTCCAATTTGGATGCCCTTTATTTCATTTGCTTGCCTAATTTTTCTGGCTAACTTTCAGTACTATATTGAATAAGAATGGTAAAAGTGGGTATCCTTGTCTTGTTCCAGTTCTTAGGAAAAAAGCTTCAGCTTTTCACCATTCAGTATACTGTTGGCTGTGGGTTTGTCATACATGATCTATATTGTGCTGAGATGTTTCCCTTCCCTACCTAATTTGTTGAGAGTTTTAAGTGTAAAGCAATGTTAAATTTTATCAAATGCTTTTTTTGCATCTATTGAGAATATCATATAATTTTTGCCCGTAGGAATGTCTTTTGTTATTCATAGTGAGCCCCTTTCAATCACACCTAAGGTTATGCTAATGAGGTGCTTAGGGTGGGAACTCTATATAGCCTTAGAATAGGGCTGGTCACCAGAAAGATCAAGTGATTACAAAGTTTGACATTTCAGCCCCATTCACTGATCTCCAGCGAGGGTAAGGGAGGCTGGAGATTAAGCTCTGTTATAATGGCTGTTATCAGAACAAAACATGCTAAGTGCTGGTGAGTATGTGGAGAAAAGAGAACCCTTGCACACTCTTAATAAGAATATAAATTAGTACAGCAATTATGAAAAACAGTATGGAGGTTCCTCAAAAAATTAAAAATAGAACTACTTTATGATCTATAAAAACTGTTGAGCAAGGAGATTCAGGGAACTTCCAGGTTGGTGAACAAGTGGAGGTGCTGGGAGGGTGGTGCACCTGGTGAGGATGGAAGCTCCATGCCCTTTCCCCCATACCTTTCTCTGTGCATCTCTTCCATTTGGCTGTTCCTGAGGTGTTCCTTTATAATCAACTGGTAATAGTAAGTAAAGTGCTTATATATTAGTATTAACAATATTTGGAAGAACAAATACCGAAATAATGTTTATATCTGGATGTTAGTGTTTCTATGCTTTTTTCCCGTTTTTCTTATTTTTGAATTTTCCTATAGTAAATATGTATTATGTTTGTAATTCTTTGTATGAAGAATGTCTTCTTTTTTGTTATATTGTATAAATAATGTGTGAACAAATAATAAATGGGTTTCTGATTTGTCACTGGAATCTTGTTTTTCTATACTTGAACTGATTTTGTTGCTATTATTAGATCTTTTTTTCTCCAAGTACATTATCCCCATTAGTACTTGGGTTAGGACTTATTTTGCAAGGTACATTACATTTTAAATTCATTGGGGACTTTTGAATCAAGGACCCCAAGGACTTTTTTATTCAGTTGTTTTCTTCATACTTGTTGCAGATGGAGAAAATAAACAGTCTTAAGTGTAAAACCTGTTTGTCCAGAGAAAATCAGAACATCCACTTTTGCAGAGCCAGAGAACATCCACTTTTGCAGAGCCAGAGTCTTCTTAACTCCTCCTTGTTCTTTGGACTTTATCTTCCTTTCAGTTACCCAGAGTGTAAAGAAATATTTCCTATTTTAAATTAGAATGGAATTTCTTATACATTCATGAGCAATGTGTATATTTATGCTGCATATATGTTCCTAAGAGTAAGGGGCTAAAAATGCACTTAGGTGCTCTTACTAGTATGTTTTTGTTCAGCTGTGAGTCTCACTCAGGTCATTTGATGTATTTGATGTACAACTTCCAGGTGAAACAATGAAGAATGTCAAAGGTAAATATTGGGATGTGTTCAAGTCAGGCACTTTTTCATTATAATTTATAGAGAAGACATTTGTGATTATGTTTCATTCTAGTAAAGCAAATGAATAGTTTCAATATTTCTTCATTTTTGATATTTTATTAAGAGAATTAGTAACTTCTGAGATTCTTTAAAGAGATCCTGAACCTTTATCAGATTTAAAATGTGGGCAGGATGCATTTTATGCATCATTAAGTTGGTGTAATCACAGGTTCAATGATTTAATTAATACACAGAAATTTTTTTCTCTCTTTCCCCATTTCTCCTTCAGTCTTACGTCACTTTATCTCATTTCTTTATCAAGTATCCATCTGTCTACCCAGATCCCACTATCTCACTTATCATTGGTAAACATTTAGGGATTTTTTAAATCCCCCTCACTTTCAGTACCAGTACTACCTACTTGTAAACTATTTGCATCATAATCTCAGACAAATGTCCCTTTTTCTATCATGATGTCTGTAACCTGGCAATGTACTGTGGGCACTCTGTACTTGATGGGAACTGATATTACCCATCTCACCAAGGCAAAAAAGAGCTTCATTTTCTCAGTCCCAGGGAACATACACTTCATAGATATTTGTGGGATATTTTAAAAAAGAGTGGAAGCCATATAGGAAAAAAACTAATTAGAAGTATCACCCCATAATAGTATTTTTATTTTATTTTACTTTTTAATACAGGGGAAAATGAGAGAATATGTTTATGCTGAGGTAATTGGTCAAGAAAATTAGAAGAAATTGTTAATGGTGAGAAAGAGGGACAGAGAGATGCTTCTTGTAGAGCTAAGTGCCTTCTTGAGATAATCAGAGATTGGCTTCAGAAAATAAGAAAAATAACATCAAATATATGTATAATGCTTATTATGTACTAACTACTATCATAAGGATGCTACATGGTTTATCTTATTTAAACCTCACATAACCCTATGATTTTGTACTCCTGTTTACCCTCTTTTACAAATTAGGAAACTGAGCACACACAGAGATTAAATGATTTCCCCAAGGTTGTTCAGCTAGTAGATGACAGAGTTATGATTTGATCCTGGACAAACTACTCCAAGGTCCTCACTTAACCCCTGTGCATTACTGAAACATGTAGTACACTTCTGGGTAATAAAAGAGGAAAGACAAAGTATGTCTTGATATCCCTCAGCTATTTATAATTTTTACCCAGTTTTTCAAATTAGGTTAAATTAATCATGCATCTAAGCCCTCTCTGCTGAGGGCAGAGATGAAAACAAGGGAATAATGGAGAAATTTAGAGAAACTTAGGAGCAAGAGCCATTGAATAACTGTTTTCTGGGAGAAATCTAACTTGACCTTTAAATAATGCCTAGGTCACTAGAGGAGGTATCTGGAGAGTCTAGGTAAGATATATTAACTATTTTCCATATATTGCATTTTATCAGGTACCACCACCTAAAGTAAAGGAATTTTAGGATTTAGCTATTGAATAAAAAGTTTTAGGAGAATAAAGACACTATGACCTGAGAAAATGCAGCTCAAGAGTGGTCAACTCCTGACCCAGTTGGGAAAATCTCAACCAAAGAGTAGACTTAAAATGAATTGAAAATATTACTGTGAATTGGCAGATCCTTGAACATTTTAAACAATTTCTGTAGTAGAATTCCTTAGAGAAACTTTACATAAGCTTGGCTTCTCTGTGGTACTTTTTAGTGGAGTTGAGGACATACGTCATCAAAACCAGATTATCAAAGAAATGCATGTGACTGGGTTTGCTTGGTACTTATAGACATTGTCTGATTCTGTCGTATTTTGACATTATTCCTCAGGTCCAATTTCTATGACTTTTATGGAAGATTGGGCAGTTGTATAAAGTCAGTGATGAAAAACCATACAGCAGTAACAACATTTATTATACTGGGATTGACAAATGACCCACAACTAAAGATTTTGGTTTTTATCTTTCTGTTTATCACATATATATTAAGTGTAATTGGGAATCTAACCATAATTTCTCTCATCTTGATGGATTCTCATTTAAAAACAGCTATGTATTTTTTTCTTCAAAATTTCTCCTTCTTAGAAATCTCACTCACAACTACCTGTGTACCCCTATACCTATATATTATATCAACTGGGGATAAAAGCATCACCATTAAAGCCTGCTTCAGCCAAATATTTTTTGCTGTCCTCTTTGGAGCTACAGAATTTTTTCTCTTGGCTGTGATGTCCTATGACCGCTATGTGGCCATCTGCAAACTGCTGCATTACCTGACCATCATGAACAGCAGAGTCTGCAGGAATCTTGTCCTCTGTTGTTGGGTCTCTGGATTATTGATTATCCTTCCCCCTCTTGGATTGAGCCTCCATCTGGAATTTTGTGACTCTGTTATTGACCATTTTTACTGCGATGCTTCCCCAATACTAAAGAATTCCTGTTCAGATACATGGTTCATAGAGCAGCTAGTTATATTCTGTGCTGTGTTGACTTTCATAATGACTCTTGTTTGTGTAGTTTTGTCCTACATATACATTATTAAGATGATTCTAAGATTACCCTCTGCCCAGCAAAGAAAAAAAGCCTTTTCCACCTGTTCTTCCCACATGATTGTGGTTTCCATCACCTATGGCAGCTGCATCTTTATATATATCAAACCTTCAGCAAAGGATGAAGTGAGCATTAATAAGGCAGTTTTTCTGCTCACTATATCTGTTGCCCCTTTGTTGAACCCCTTTATTTATACTCTGAGAAATAAACAAGTAAAGCAGTCTTTTCATGACACCCTCAAAAGACTTGCATTTCTTTCAAGAAAATATTAGATTACCTTTTTTTAAAATTATTTTTATTTTGTCAATATACAATGTAGTTTATTATTATGTCCCATCACCGAAACCTCCCTCCCTCCTCCCTCTCCCCCCTCCCACTCAAGTGTGTCCCCTCCATTTGCTTGTTGTAAGAACTTCAAAAAAAATGTGGTTGTTATATCTTCCTCCCCCCTGTTTTTTTTGTTGTTGTTTGTTTGTTTTTTTTTTGTGTGTGTGTGAGAGAGAGAGAGAGAG